ATTAAAAGACTAATTACTTTCACCCCAAATACTAATTATTTGTAATTTTAACATTTTTTAAATTTGCCACTATCCTAGGTTTTGCCCATTTGTCAGTAAGAATTTTTTACTCATTTAAAACGCAATCAAATTTAATATATGCTCCCTTATACCTTTTATATATTTTAATATGTACACGTCAGAATAAGCTTGTTTGAATTTTTACATAAATATTGTGTTACACTGAATGACAATGTAACATTATTTCAACCAAATTTTGACATTTTATTCTCCAAAAACTTATTTGAAACCTTAAAAGTAGACACTTTACTTACATTTAATGTGCTTTCTATGGACATAAAATCACTTTTGAAAATTTCTTTTGATGTGGACATCTTAATGTCTTTGACCCATATATAGTTTTTTAGTGGTAACGTCTCTCAGTTACTTTAATTCAGTTGTTATTCTCTTTCTGTGTTCTAATGTAATCTACAGACATGGTAAACAATGTCACTGCCATGTAATCAGGTTGTTCTTTGTCTTTGCTTCTCATGCAAGCCAAGATGAACTCGGCTTTAAGTTGGTGCATTAACCAAAAAAGTCTGAAAGGGCCTTTTAGAGAAAATTACCAGCAAACACTTCTGAGGAATGTGACCCTGTCCTATTGCCGCTGGATGTGTTCCAGCTCCTCCCGGTTCACAGTCGACCTCACAATCATCCCTCTACTTATTTCAAATCACTCAAACATTGCATTTGGGTACAAATCTGTTTATTTCGGTTGAAGTGAGATGCGGTACAAGTCTTGAGTTGTATATTCCCCCTGCAGTGTTGTGTGAACCACAATTATCGCAAGTATACCACACAACAGGAGTATGCTCCCATAAAAAAATAATGTACATTTGTTCTTGCATTACATTCAACTGGGTTTTAAGCACAATTTTTTTGCAAGTGTTTCATTTTGTAATTGTGTCAAGGGCAAGATCTTCTGTGTGGTGTTACATAGGAGGACAAAGCTGAATTAAAATAAAACAACACGAGAATATAAAACTTTTTTTTTTACAGATGTAAATAAGGCTTCACATTCATAGAAAGACAGTATGCACTGAAGCAATTAAGGATGTGTTCCAGCTCCTCCCGGTTCACAGTCGACCTCTTGAAATCATCCCTCTACTTATTTCAGATCACTCAAACATTGCATTTGGGTACAAATCTGTTTATTTCGGTTGAAGTGAGATGCGGTACAAGTCTTGAGTTGTATATTCCCCCTGCAGTGTTGTGTGAACCACAATTATCGCAAGTATACCACACAACAGGAGTATGCTCCCATAAAAAAATAATGTACATTTGTTCTTGCATTACATTCAACTGGGTTTTAAGCACAATTTTTTTGCAAGTGTTTCATTTTGTAATTGTGTCAAGGGCAAGATCTTCTGTGTGGTGTTACATAGGAGGACAAAGCTGAATTAAAATAAAACTAAACACGAGAATATAAAACTTTTTTTTTTACAGATGTAAATAAGGCTTCACATTCATAGAAAGACAGTATGCACTGAAGCAATTAAGTGTTTAAAAACTGACAGTATGTTCGTAAGGGCCTCATGACAAAATCCTGGCATGTTAAAAATGCTTGCCTAACAAGTGAAGTAAACCATCAGTGACTTGGCACCTGTGTTTGTGACCAGCTGCACTTCAAACCAGCCATCCACACTGGACTCAATAATCCCTTCTCTGTTCTGTGCATATGGTGGATTCCCGCTGGTGTCCAACAGCAATATTACACAACTATTACAAAATACTTCATATATATGTCGAGCCAGCTGTGGTTGTCAAAAGGATGTTAGTACCTTAACGATTGTAGCTTTTGTGGCTCATAGGCAGGTCTTTAATGTTTACTCTGTGCTGTCTAGAACACGAGAATATAAAACTTTTTTTTTTACAGATGTAAATAAGGCTTCACATTCATAGAAAGACAGTATGCACTGAAGCAATTGTTTAAAAACTGACAGTATGTTCGTAAGGGCCTCATGACAAAATCCTGGCATGTTAAAAATGCTTGCCTAACAAGTGAAGTAAACCATCAGTGACTTGGCACCTGTGTTTGTGACCAGCTGCACTTCAAACCAGCCATCCACACTGGACTCAATAATCCCTTCTCTGTTCTGTGCATATGGTGGATTCCCGCTGGTGTCCAACAGCAATATTACACAACTATTACAAAATACTTCATATATATGTCGAGCCAGCTGTGGTTGTCAAAAGGATGTTAGTACCTTAACGATTGTAGCTTTTGTGGCTCATAGGCAGGTCTTTAATGTTTACTCTGTGCTGTCTAGATTAGCATTTGATTTGAATGAAGGGAAAACAGGTGTGTCATCACTTACAGAGCAGTAAAAATCAAGAGGTTGTTTCAGTTATTAGCTAGTTCTAAAATCCCAATTTTGTTGTGATTTTGAAGCAGATATGAAATCTTGTAAAAAAAAAAAAAAATCCTGTGTTAATGCAGGACTGCTACTATTTTGTGCAAATGTCTTAATACCTGAAGTGTCTTGTTGCGCTAATTATTTTGTAATGGAAAAAGTGTAATCATGTAAAGTGCTTGTGTAACAATCTTTGCAAAAAGAATTATGTGCTAAAATCACTTTCAAATCAAACAGGACAAAAACAAATCTAGTGCTAAAAACTCTAGTTGCAATGGGTTGAGTGTATCAGGGCCTAAATCTCACACCAATAATATTCAGAATGTTTAACATAAGAAAACGGCTGCAATTCCCTCA